CAGGTTCATGCCTCAGTGCATTCTGACTCATGCCGTTTCTGCTTCTGATATCCTCCATGACCTCATCCTTGGTTTTGTTTGTGTGAAATAAGGAGTACCCAGAGTAGGTGCTCAATAAAAATTAGTCTCCACCCCCCATTGCTGATTGAGACCTTTCTACTTCTGGGAATCTCTGATTGGAATGCTGAGAAGTATGCTAGTGAACCAATATTGATGGCAACCCTCACAATCAGAGCACACAGAGATGCTTTGCACAGTGTCTGTAACATGGTAATTACCCTTTCATTACGGAAATACAGAGATGAATCTTTGCTCCAAAGGAACCATTTTCTTACTCCTCTATACCCCCATGTTTTGCACTTGTTGCTTCTCCTGTCTGTCTCCCTCACTAAACTCTGTGGTCACTAAAGACAGAGCTGTCTCTCACTTCACTCCTAATCCCTAACATTGTACCAGACAATGGGAGGTTCCCAGTACATTTCTTGATTGAATCTGACTGGCAACAAATGAATTGGAGTTCAATTCTAATTGGAATTAGAAGGGTTGGTATTGGATTGCCTCAGACTGAAAGAGAATTTTTCTTATTAGGATATTTGCATTCTTGCTTTTGGCTAAAACATCCATTCAATAAATGGCCCTAACTTCTCTGAGACCTTAGTTTTCCATCTGTAAAGTGGTGATAGGTATTGCTGACTTTCCATATAATAGAGTATCAGGTGCAACACTAGATGGAAGAATACTGTGTATATGTATGAAGGTTAATTAGGTTTTTTTCCACCCACTATGTTCCTAGACCTTTTTTCTTTGTTTCATTCTCCATAGCCATTTGCTCAATTGTAGTAATGACTTATAAATATAAAAAAATCAGAATCAAAAAAGACAAACAACCCAATCAAAAAATGGTCAGAAGATCTGAGTAGACATTTACCAAAGAAGACATACAGACAGCTAACAGGCACATAAAAAGATGCTCAGCATTGCTAATTATTAGAGAAATGCAAACCAAAACAACACAGATATCACCTCACACCTGTCAGATTGTCTACAAATAATAATAAACAAATAACAAAAATAATAACAAATAAATAAACAAATAATACAAAAGTCTACAAAAAACAAATGTTGGAAAGGATGTGGAAAAGTGGGAACCCTCGTACACTGTTGGTGGGAATGTACGCTGGTGCAGCCACTATGGAAAACGGTATGGAGGTTCCTCAAAAAACTAAAAATAGAATGATCACATGATCCAGCAATTCCACTCCTGGGTATATAGCCAGGAAAAACAAAAACACTAATTTCAAAAGATACATGCATCCCAATGTTTGTAGCAGCACCATTTACAATAGTCAAGGTATGGAAGCAAGCCAAATGTGCATCAGTAGATGAATGGATAAGGAAGATGTGTACATATGTGTGTGTACACACATATAACTGTAATGGGATATTACTCAGCCATGAAAAAGAATGAAATTCTGCCATATGCAGCAAAGTAGATGGACCTAGAGAATATTATGCTCAGTGAAATTAGTCACAGAGAAAAATAAATACTGTATGATATCACTTAAATGTGGAATCTTAAAAATAATACAAATGAGTGTGTACACACACACAAATACACACACACACACACACACACACAAACAAAACAGAAATAGACTCACAGATACAGAAAACAACTATTGGTTAGTAAAGCAGAAAGGGAAGGGGAGAGGGGAAAACTGCATATGGGATTAAGAGATACAAACTACTATGTATAAAACAGATAAGCAACTAGGATACATTGTATAGCACAGGGAATTATAGCCATTATTCTGTAATAATTTTAATGGAATATAAGCTGTAAAAATGTTGAATCACTATGCTGTATACCTGAAACTAATATAATGTAAATCAACTATACTTCAATTAAAAATATTAATTTAAAAAATCAGAAAGCCCTGGAGGAAATTATTTGTCCCCAATTTTGTCTTTCAGCCCTCTGCCTATTTTGTACTTTGTTAACATGATCACAATGCCTTGGATTTTCTTGCAACTTTGGAAAATATTAATGTTGAAAATTCCAGCAGCTGAGTTTTCCTTCAATCAACATCTATTCAACCAAAACTAAAAACTAATAATCATTACTGCTTCATTGCCCCAGAATTTTGCATAGGGTTTTTATTCACAAATAAAGTATTTGGTTTGCAAGGAAGACTACGCATGCTAATCCCTGGTGCACTGTCAGACTGTAAGACACAAGGGTCTCTTACCAAGCCAACTAGTAGTTTTTGCTTTTGGAGAACAATTTTTTATGTTAGTTTGGGGCTGTAAAAAGATCGATAAAACCTGGATCCAGCTTGAATTTGATGGACTTAATGAAACTAGTTTTAATTTTAAGGGTATTCCAAAATGGACTGCCAAAAAAAAAGTGTGTATTCAGTCAAAGAACACCACCAATATAGAAATTAGTTATCTTTTAAAATAACCTCCTTTGATTATTATTTTAGTTTTCCCTACCATATTTAACAACCTTCAGTTAGACTGCGCTTATCCTTTGTGATTAAACTTACTTAGATGACCAGACATGCAACCACATTCTATGAATAAACTAATGATGACACAGAAACCACAGGAAAAAACAACAACAAACTATGCCTTTTGTGATGCTAGTTTATTTTGTTTTTTCAATAATAGCTTTTCCTATGTGCTTAAATTTTGACTGCTCTTCACATTTAGGAACTAATCACCTTTTTATCTTGTTTGGCCAGCTGAAAATGATGCCCCAACAATCTTCTACCCCTGTTTCTTCTCTTTGAAATGATCCCTCTTGTGTAGTGATGGTAATTATCAAACACTCTCTGGAATTGGGAAGAATTTGTCAAGTACCCATAGTAGAGCAAAATTATTATTTACTAGAAAAGAGGGCAGGTTGGAGATCCTGTCTTGCTTTAAAAACGACCGAAAAAAAAAATTGTCCTGCAAGTGCTGACAATAAGGTAACCAGTTCTGAAGATCTTAGGACGGCTGTCCCACAGAACTGTTACATACTGGAGACAAAAGGTTCTGCCTCAAAGAATCCTTACAAACCTCAATGACAAGAGTGACCTTTGCTTGGTTAGTTTTGCTGCTCTGGAGATGAACATTAGGTTCACAAACTCACAGGACCAAAACGTGTAAAATCTCCAATATCTGTTCTGATATTTCAGAGTAGAGATGGGAGGAAGAAAAAATGAGAGATGAACAATTCTAAAAGCATCCTTTCAAAGGCATATTTAAACTCTACTACTAAGATATTCTATGCCAAGCACTATAACTTCTTTCATACTGTCTTAGGATCATGGGTACAGGGGCGGGTGGCAGATCCTCCAGGCTTCAGGAACTGATGCCTCACCAAAGAGCGATGTCGAAGAGCTTACACTGAACAAAACCTTGCACAATCCGGGAAGGATCATTCCAAATGGAAGCCTCAGTCCCTAACCTCATAAAGCACACCACCATTTGGAGAATGTACCTAGACCCATTGCAGATGTTTTAAACCTCTACTGTGTTAAAGGCAAGAAATTAATTCAGGGTCAAACTGTTTTACACAGTCGTCCCTCTGGTATCAGCAGGGGATTTGGTTCCAGGACCCCACGGGATACCAAAATTCACTAAGTCCCCTGTAGAAAACGACATGGTAGTTGGCCCTCAGTGTGCACGGAGTCCATAGCCTCAGATTCAGCCAACCATGGATCGAACTCAATCCCAATGCAGAACCCACGGAGAAAGAAGCTTGGTTGTATTTAAATTACTTGTACTGAACCGCAGTGAAGGTGGATGCAAGCGCTGCTTTTTCAGTCAGCAGAATCACTAACTACAAAGGGTGCTAATTCCAAATTTGGGAGGCAAACTGGTTTTGAGATATACTGGCAGGGAACAAGACTGAGGTCCCTAAGATCTTGATTCTAAGCTTGGCTCCCTTTCAAAATACTTACGTTACCCGGAACCAAGGCATTTCTCCTCCCTTAGCCTAAGATTGTCACCTAGGGGGGCACAGATTACATTTTTACAGTCTTGGAGTTTTTAAAGTCTGCGATTCATGGTCCAGACTACCCTGAGTGCCCAGCAACATGCAGGCCACCGCATTCCATTAAGGCCTTTCCACGCCATTAGTGCACTGCTTTCCCGAATCAGGGCTGCTTGTGGGAGGTGGACTCTTCCTTCATAGTTTAGGTACAATTTAGGATCCCTTGCGTTCCATGGTATTCCCAGATGATCAAATTTTAATTTACATTAAAGGGTAAAAATTCCAGATCTCAGAATACTTGGACAAATACATCAGAACTCAGTCCTCATTATATCTTCAGGGGAAGCATATTAACTATGTTAAAGGGTCCCAAGGAGAGTGCTAAACTTCATCTTTGTATGTACAACATCTCAATATTTTGAATAGCTTCAAAATGCAAGCAGAAAGAGTATTTTCATCTTCCACTACTATGTGTGAAACCAGACACCTCTTTAAATAGAAAAACTGCTCTGGAATTCTGTCTGGGGCTGTGGATACTGATTAGCTCTCTGTGGAAGAATTTCTGTTTCAAGTATTAAAAAAAAAAAGTGCTTACAGTCACTAATAAGTACTCCCACATGGGAACGATAAAGACCCCTGCTACATTCCATCTGCGGGCTGCACACGGCTTGGGCTGGGTCCTCTGAAGTCTGAATTTGAGATTCTAGGCTGAGGTCTGTGATAACTTAGCCAAAGCACTGCAAACGATCTCAGCCACGCCAACACAAATCAGTTTAATTGAAACATTTGGTTATAGGGCAAAAGCAAATCAAATATTGTGAGATGTTTCAGTTACAGCAATTGGTTCTCTTGAAAGAAAGGTTTCACATGCAATAATTTCATCCAGTATTCCATTTGTTTCTCTGAGCTCTTAGGAAAGCCAATTCAATGTCAGTATTCCTTGTTCTCATGAAAGGTAATTAAATCTTACGAAAGTATAGGTGGCATGCACCATTTTACTGCAGCAAATGATTACCTGAGTTATGCATGGGGGCAGTGACTCCAATTTCATCTCTCCAGCAGTCGTATTCAACCCGGGTTGCACAGATCATTCACTGGGTTAAAGAAAGAAAATATTACAATTAACTTAGTTGTATTTATTTTTATCAAAAACTAAAAAGGTAAGCTTAACTAGTCTTTACATTGCTTCTGTGGTTACTGCTGTTGTGGTTACTCACCATATGCAATAAGATGTCCTGATAGAAGAGGTGACTTTAAAAGTCATTGGTTTACTGAAGGCATCCTAAAATCCTTATTTGTTTTAAGTGTTTTGCAACTTAATGAATCTATGTTTATCCAGTTAAGACAATTAACAGACAATTTAGCTAATTTAACTAACCTTCAGAAAATGTCTATATGGCTTGAAAAATTTACAGAAAGACATCGTGGGTTCAAAAAAAAATCATTGTATAAGCACGGACAACAAGAAAATGGTAAATTCTTATAGTTAGTGTGTGTCCTTCCTTTTTACCCTTGGACCTACAGTCTGAAAAACATCCCTGTATTCTCTCCTACTCCAAATCTAAATTTTCTCTGATGCCCACTTCAAGTGCCATCTGATGTCTGAACATCTGATCACAGACTTCTATGATTGACATCAACTTAGCTAAAATCGTCATTCTCATTCCTTTAGCAATTAACTATGCATGACCTTAACCTTAAGTATGTTATGTCTTCTTTCTCCAACTGGACTATGAAGGATATGAGTTTTGTGTTCTTCAGCAGAGACCTTTCTGTCCCATAGAACTTAACTGCAGTGAGGAACTGCTTTAAATATGCACTTCCCTACATGGTGACCATTGGTCACAGGCAGGTTCCTGAGCTCTTGGAAAATCACTAATGCAACTAAGCTTTTATTGTATTTATTATTAAATAATTTAAATGTAAATAGGTTCACATGACTAGTAGTTATCATATTAGACAGCCCAGCTCTAAAACATCTCACATGGTCTCCTGAGTATAGTAATTGTTCATGTTTCTTCCTTTGCTCCAAAGGCAAGAAAGACTCCTCCAGTTACTCCAAATCCTCAATGGCCCCTGACTGAAAATCTGGTATCACTTATTAAGGAATTCATTTCCTTACTTCAAAGCTGGATTTCTTGCCAAATCACTGAGCAGTTTAGGAGTCTTACTTTGTCACAAATATTCTACCATATTCAGCTCTAAATTTTTCACTTCATAGATGATCTGGGGGGAAACATTTAATTCTGAACTCTCTTTTCACTCTTAATCCTGACCTCTCTTTTTCACATGTGGAGCTTGCAAAAACATTTTAATATCTACTTAATTAGAAATGCTTAATTGGAAATAAAAATTGGAGCAGCTACACACACACACATTGGCATGCAGAGTATGTATTTTTATGAAAGCATGACTCAGTTCAGAATATCTGTGCCTTTTTCAGGAGAATAATTGCTTCATTAATATTCCCACACCAGTTGTCTGTTATCAAAACAACAAGTTTGTATACCAGTGACATTAGAAGAGAGAAAGGGCCCTAAGCAAGAAAGAGACATAAGCAAGAGAGGGTAAAAAGGAATTTAATATTTTATCATTTTAATTTTTCAAAAGTAAAAAAAGAATGCACATATTGATGTAGGAAAAATGTGGATGCATATAAATGAAAATGCCAATACTAATTTTATCTAGAAAACAGCATTTCTAGTGTTTTTTAAAAATATGTTCATGTATTTTAAGTGTACTAATTTATAAAATTGAATACATTTTGCATGTGTAATGAAACATAAAAATAAAATAATGTGTATACATTTTTTAATTTGATATTTTCATTACATATCAAAGTACTAGGAATTTAGATCTTCTGACACTCTGCACTCCACTTAAGCTCTGGCTTCAAAGATAACACCTTAGACACATGCCTCAGTAAAGCTAAGTGAAGCTCACAAACATGTTCGGTACACATCTGAATTTGGTCTTTCAATTTGAGTACATCACTAAAGTGTAAATAGCTGTCATTTCTTTTCACTGTATCAATAGTCACCATTTTTTAAACTCTTCACCCCAGTTTCTAGTCTAGCAAGTTTTTGGAATTCACATAATTTCTGGTCATTTGTCTTGAGCAGTTTTCCTACAATTGTGCGTCACATTCAGTAATTCCACCCCAAAATTGCAAACTTTAATTTTCTGTTACCTTTCATCTTATTCTCATGACTATTCCCTTTCTTAGCAGGGAGGATTGAAAGAGGATCGCAACCCAGACGAAGCTGAGTTGACAGTGAGCTGGAACAGGGGAAAACAGAAGGAATGAGAGCCTCTGAGTGCTGGTAGCAGCTATGCCATTAACAAATCCATTCACCAGTTCACTCACTCGATGAGCATTTACAAAGTACAGGCTCTGTACCAGGGACACGCTAGGCATGTGCGGGATGCTAGTGGGAGGGAGAGACCGTCTCTGCCCTGTTGTTTGACACTGGGTAATCCATTTCACTTCTCTCAACTTTAGCTCTCTCTTCTGGGGCGGGGAGGCTCCCAAATGTCCTCTGTAGTTCTATATTCTGTCGATTCACAGCTTCCTCTCTTTCCATTAACTCAGAAACAGAAGATGATCCCTGTGCCCACCCTGAAACAAACACATAACACTTTGAAGAAAAGGGAGAGAGGAATGTGAACAACTGCCATGTTCTCAGTACTGCCATGTGCCCGTGAGAGTCCTCTGTCACCTCTAGGAGTAAGTGCAGCAGCGGTATTCACAGTTCTCTTAATAACCTCATAAATGTCTTTACTACCTTTTCTTGAAATCCTAGACATTTTGGGGTCAATTTAAAAAAGAAGAAGGCGACAATGACGACAGCGAAGTACCCTGTGCTGTTTGCTGCCTGGCTAGGAAAACACTCAGTGCAATCTGAGAATGGGACCACTTACCTACCACGTGTTACTTCTGTCAAATTCCCCTTATGTATAATGGCTTCAAGCCCACACAGAAATACCTAAAAACTATGCATCTTTTTTTTTCCATACACGTAGATATAACCTTCAATTTGTATTGCTCGGAATATAGATGTGACTGAAAGTATGATTCCCACACACGTCATTAAATGAATTTCTTCTTGCCAAAGATATCCCTAACAGGTGAAAAATGCCTGGGTTGCAATATTAGAGTTCATGGTCATATGCCCAGGCATCAAGGGGTCAAGTTAATGGTCTGAGATGTAACGACATTGAGCAAGGTGGAGCACAAGGAGATGGAATCCCTCCAAAATAAGGGAAGGACTGCGTGGTCAGGTAACCCACTTCCATCAAAAAGAAGCTGTATTAAGTACACAATTATGAGACTGAAAAAGAAATGGAATGAGGGGTCCTTCTCATGCCTCCTTCGTAGTTAACTGGTGCCAACTTCATGCAATGTTGAAAGTATTAAGGGACCTGTCATCTCTAAAGAGACAAGTCAGCCTGCTGTGTAGACTGAAAGCTATAGTTAGCAGAGTTGTGCTTTACAAGGCAGCTGTTTCATGATGCACAAAACTCTGAGAGGCTTACTGAGTAGAGAGGATTTTCAGGATGTTTTGTTGTGTGCTGGGTTGTGTAGTTCCCCTTAAGAAAATCTTCAGCAAAGATGTACATCATTTTTTTCAAACCTTTTGGAGTTATGATGTGGACATTTGTTTGTATCGCTGCGCTGAGACCAGGCCATTTCTACAGTGAGAACCGAACGAGCCAGTTTTACTTCGATTGCCCATTAACGCCGCTGAGGTGGAACAATGAAGTAGAAATCGCAGTCCTGACTTTTAAGTCTAAAATGCAACACTTACAAATATATCTTTCCTACTTCCCTCAGAGCTGTAATGATTTCTGATCTGAAATTATAGGCAACCAGTTCGGAAGACTGATTTTATTATTACCATCTGTTCCTGGGGTGTATTGGAGATGGTTTCTGTGCCCCTAAACCCAATGATTTCAAATCACTGCTGACCAGCTTACATTTTTCCCTTTACCCTAGTCCATGGAGGGTCTTGAGGAATTTATTATGATTTGGATACATGGAGTATATTATTATTATTATTATTAATTATTATTACTACTACTACTACTACTATTATTGATTTTAATAGTGTGAAATTAAATACTGTAAAAAGATATCCATTAAGAACATTTAATTTCAAGGGAAAGTAAATCTGACTGCATTTTAATTTTGGCAAAATAGCTTAAGCCTTTGATGTTATTTAACCTGTTCAGAGGATCCCAAACATACTTCATCATTTTGGACTTTCCTCCTCTATTAAGTACACCATTATTTTTGGCAGTGCTTTCGCTGGCTCATTGAAAATGGATTTTTGAATATTTTGGAAGTTGTCTTTTTCATCATATGTCTTCACTGTCTTGAAAATTCTGATAGATGCTCCATCAAAACTTTTGTCTTAGGAAAACATGATGCAGTGGAAAGTGGTTTTTGGAGTTTTGTAGACTTGGGTTCAAATTTTGATTTTCATTTAAAAATATCAGTTTAACTCTTTGCCTTTTTAACTGTGAGAACTGAGGTATGTTTCTTAATTTCCCTGCATCCTACTTTATCTACCAAAAAAAAAATTAAGGAGTATGAAGTATTTATACATGTAGGTACATATACATCCCAAGAATACATAAATATAGTATTTTTGCTTCTAAGATCAAATTTTAAAAATTCCAAGTACTTCTTTCTGTTTACAGAAAATAAAATGTTAGTTTGGTCTATATCTGAGTTTTTGACAATATGACTGTAATGAAATCTCCTTTACAATTTAGGTAATATTTTTCTCTCAGTTGAGAAAACTTTGGGAAGATTTTTTTTTCCTTCTGCTAAAAAGAAATTGTTCTTCTCCCAAAAAGAAGACCACACAGATGTTTGATAATCCTGTAATTTATGCTGACCAATACCCTCTATTCAGAATTAGTGGCTTGACCTACATATTATTTTTATTTATCCAGAGTTGAAGTTGCCTGCAGTTTTGTGGGACCACATTTCATAGCAAAATTAAAATATATCTTTACTAACTGTATGCATTTGAGGCTCTGAGCATGTCTCTAATCTTCCCATGGGACTTTTTATAATTGTGTTACT